AAGACATAAAAGACAAGCTAATCAAATACGTCACACAAAACAGAGGACAATTCACACACTGAACAACAAGCTAAAGACTAAAAACTTGGCAGGCGATCAGAATTAGAAAAAAACTAAGGATGATTTTTTATAACTAAGAAATAGTTCTGCATCTACTCTGACTCTACGTTTTTCCAGAGCAGCAGCAATCTACAATTCTGTCTCACAGTCCAGCCAATGAGATTTTCTTTCAGCCAGTTGGCCATTTAACTCATTAACAATATTAGTGGGTATTTAATGCACCTGAAGGTCCCCTTATAAACAGTTTCATATCAAATATACATTCACAACATAGATCTCAAAGTCACCTAGCTGATAAAGGTTTTGAGTTTGAGGTAGATAAGAAGTCTATTTTACATAATTTAGATCAAGTTTAGACAGAATTAGATAAAGTTTATCCCAGTCATATAAATTCCATTATGTGGCACTTCATTAACTTAATTAAGTTTACTCTTACTTGAAATGTCCATTTTCCAATAATAATTATAATGGATGGTAATGAAGACTTACATGTTTACAAATTGCCTTCCAAAATCACCTAAAAGACTGGGCACAATGGCTCACACCTGTAATCCCAGCACTTTTGGAGGCCAAGATCGGTGGATCACCTGAGGTCAGGAGTTCAAGACCAGCCTGACCAACATGGTGAAGCCCTGTCTCTATTAAAATATGAGGTTAGCCAGGTGTGGTAACTGGTGCAGGTAATCCCAGCTACTTGGGAGGCTAAGGCAGGAGAATTGCTTAAACCACGAGGTGGAGGCTGCAGTGAGCCGTGATCACACCATTGCACTCCAGCCTGGGCAACAGAGCAAGACTCCATCTCAAAACAAGAAAACAAAATCACCTAAGAGGAAATTGTCTCTGGGCCTCAGTTTCCTTTTTTCATAAAATGAGGCGGTTAGATCTAAAGGTCACCAAATTGAATATACTATAATACTTTATGACAGTAAAATGTCTAATTCAATTTATATTTAAATTATAGGGTTTTATCATTTGGCAGTTCCTCAAAAACGAAATGGAAAATTACCATATGACCCGGTAATCCCACTTCTAGTTACTTTACCCAAAATGACTGAAGGCAGAAACTCGAACAGATCATTATACCTCAGTGTTCACAGCAGCATTACTTACAGTAGCCAAAGGTGGAAACAACTGATATGTTCACCAACAGATGAATAAGCAAAATGAGGTAAAAACATATAGTGGAATATTATTCAGCCTTAAAAAATGAAGTTCTCATTCTTGCTATAACAGGAAAGGAACTGTGAAACACATTTATTAAGTAACATAAGACAAACACAAAAGGACAGATACTGTATAAGGCCACTTATGCAAAATATTAGGATAAGCAAATAAGAGAAAGTAGATTAGAGGTTACTAGGGGTTGCAGGGAGGAGGAATAAGAACTTACTGGCTAACAGCTACAGAATTTGGGGTAATGAAAGAGCTTTAGAAGCAGACAGTGGTGATGGCTGCACAACAGTATGAATATAATCAATATCACTGAATTGTACATCTAAAATGGTTTAAAAGGCAACTTTTATGTTTTATATATATATTTAATAACAGAAAGAAAATTATAGAATCTTAACATTTGCACAGACGAAGAAGGTTAGCCACAGTCTATGTGGTCCTACACAAGTCTCAATCTCCCATTTTCAGTTTCTTCATCAAGAAAATAAGAGTAACAAAATGAATTGTTAATGCATGGGATCCACAGTGGGGCATCTGCCTAGGACTCGTGAGAAAAAGATAAATTCCATGCATGAATAAAACTATTTGATTGATTTGTAACAGGGCAAAGTAGAAATATGTAACATCACCTAAAAAAGACTGGCTCAGAGGCCTGCCCAACTTCACTGTAGCCGGACCGAACATATTATCACATGTAATAAGGATTAAGCCATTTACAAGTAGGTTTGAATACTACTGAAAACTCGAAAAGCCAACCACTATCTGGGGAAAGAGTGAAAATCTTGACCAATGATTTTTCACGTCTACCTTGCCCCACATAAAGATGGATGTTGCTAATCCATTTCAAGTGTGTTAATCCCACTGACAACAAGACAATCAATAATATCTATTTCAGTACAATGATATTTCCTGAAGAACAGTATGATTATCTCATTGGGAAAAAAATATATAGGAGAAGAACATTGAGAATACTTTAAAGGTGCTACTTTCAAGTTATTTTTATTGCCAACTACTGTTAAAATTTTGAACAATGAGACACAGGAAGCACTCACAGGAAAAGTTTTACAAGTATTAATTCACATAATACTCACCACAACCCTATGTATAGAGATGCTTGTTATCCCCATTTGACAAATGAGAAAATTCAGATGCAGAAATATTAAGGACCTTGTCACAGTCACACAGTCTACCAGTGGTGGGGCCTGCAATTGCACTCAGGCTATTTGCTAACATTTTAAAATAAACCAAAACTTCATATTCATCAGTAAGAAACAACCCACTGAAAATTGTCATTCTTGGTAATATTAGAATATTCTAACTACAAAAAAGACATTTACACTAACCAGTAAGTTACCTAAAATGTAAACAATTAGGAATAAGGCCTGCTGCTCACATATGGGGGGCAGTGGAGTTAGCTGGGGAGGAAACGGGCAGTCACGGGAGAGGAGAAGAGCTGATGGAGGCTTGAGAATACTGTGAAGAGACTGAGCGCCAGGGTCTGAGTAGGACTGATGTGGTTGACAGGTCACATCTCTCCATTTAAGCAGCAGCCTGAAGATCCAACCTAACTCTTTAGACTTTCTCCAGGGAAAAGCCCTCAAAAATCATGGTACTTGCTACCAGCCAGTCATTCACAGGGTGAATCCTGGCAATGTCTAGGTTCTAATTATAATTTATTTTTATAGCAGAGGATATTGGGATAAAGTGGGGAAACGGCAGGGCAGATGATTGATGCTCTTATCTTTAGCTATCACATCTGGTGTTATAATGCTCAATCTAATCAGCCCATGTGGACAGATTAGAGAGAGTCAGTATTGACGACCCCCATCATTAACTTTTCCACAGGACAGAAGCATCAGATTATGTATCTATCCGTTAAACCTAAAATCCGTCTGACTCCCTGGTTCTGATTCCATGTTCAACATTATAGCTTACTATCTCCTGCTCCCCAACTGGACATAGAGCAAATACGTACCCACTATTGGAATTCAAACAACATAATCCACGATTTTTTTTTTTTTGAGACAGAGTCTTGCTCTGTTGCCAGGGATCTGATCCTCAGCTCACTGCAACCTCTGCCTCCCAGGTTCAAGCAGTTCTCTGCCTCAGCCTCCCAAGTAGCTGGGATTACAGGCACATGCCACCACACCTGGCTAATTTTTGTATTTTTAGTAGGGATGGGGTTTCATCATCTTGGCCAGACTGGACTTGAACTCCTGGCTTCATGATTCACCTGCTTCAGCCTCCCAAAGCGCTGGGATTACAGGCATGAGCCACTGCACCTGGCCCCAAGAGTTGTTTTTATTTTTTTATTTTTGGTAAATTTAGCTTAATATATCGGCCTTATGAGTTTAGTTAACTGATCCACCCATGAGATGAATTTGGTTTTGGCTGCCGGATTTTTAAAAACGTCAGTGTTCTTCTCCTATAAGACCAAGCCAGTTCTAGGTCTAAGGTTGTGATTAATAACCTATGGATCCCCAACAAGCATTCCTACTCTGGCCCTCTGTATGCTCTGCATGTTTTATTTCTTTTTCCCTCTAAGCATTATTTTTCGGGGTAGTTGTAAAAATTAAATGAGATAAAGATAATTGTGCTAACCAAACTTATTGGCAGATGACAAATAAACATTCATTGTACCCCCACCCTCACTTCTAGACTTTATTATCCATATTTAAAAGTTAGCAATCAGAAAACTTTACGTTCATGCTAGATTCACGTTTAACATACTCGATGAGGCTATACCAGTCCAACGAGTTCTGGGAGAAACGATACATTTCCCTACTCCTGAGATACTAAGAAATAGACCATTTACCTCAAAAATAGATTAGGGTATGACAAGAGGAAAAGGGCTCCAGAAAAAGACCTGTCAACAGCCAAATGAAGTAAAAATGTAATGCTTATAACTAAATAGAAAAGCTATATAAGGGCCGGGTGCAATGGCTCACACCTGTAGTCTCAGCACTTTGGGAAGCTGAGGCGGGCAGATCACGAGGTCAGGAGATCGAGACCATCCTGGCCAACATGGTGAAACCCCGTCTGTACTAAAAATACACAAATTAGCCTGGCTTGGTGGTATGCGCCTGTAGTCCCAGCTACTCGGAAGGCTGAGGCAGGAGAATCGCTTGAACTAAGGAGTCAGAGGTTGCAGTGAGCCGAGATCATGCCGCTGCACTCCAGCCCAGCGACAGAGCAAGACTGTCTAAAATAAAACAAAACAAACAGAAAAGCTATGTAAGTTACCCAAAGTCCAAAGTCAGACAGAAAATCAGTCCAATATATTGTAAACTGCTCAAGAATGATACATATCCACACTGATTTACTACCACGATTATAAAAGTAATACCAAAAAAAAACAAGTGCTGAGTGTATTGAGGAGCAGTAAAAATGTCTGGGATGGTTAATGTTTCAAAGTGATCATGAAGAGTCGAAAATTGGGGGTAAAACCCATTTTGAGAGTCACTTTCTTTTGTATTACCGTGATTATAAAGCCATCCAAATATCGCAAAACTTTTCTTACCTGAGCCAAATTCAAAATACAAAATAAACAACCCAAGGAAAGTTAGGTTTCCTGCTAGTCTGCATTTTTTTCTGGTGGTAGCTGAGAGGCTTGAAATTTTATGTCGCAATTACAGTATTCTCCTTTTGGGGTTCCCTTGTGGCTTAGTTGACAGTCCACAGCTGCCTTAATCTCCCATGCGGGTTAGTGTAAAAATGACACATGTAAAACCACATTCACCATCAGGAAAAAAAAGAAGAGTTCATACCTCTTTCAAATTTTAAGCGCTGATAAAGCTGAAACTGGTCTGCAGGTACCAAACAGGCAATCTGAAACCAGAGACATAAAAGGTTGAGACTTCAGTCACCAAAGGGCCCTCAGTTACCAGACTTTTGTGATTTCTGTTTCTGGCTTTGCTTATTATACTTTCTCTACACCAGCTGTTTGCAAACCTCTTTTTCTCTACACTGTTCATGCAGGAAAACACATGCAATAGTTTTCAAGTCATCCCACTCCTCCACCATTGCTGGGAATCACTGCTCCAGGGAGCAGTTACAAAACTCATTGATCACCTTCTATTCTTCAGGCAGTGGCCATCAAGACCAAACAACAAAATTTTACTACATGGACTTCTAAAAATTATTCATGTTCATATCTTAAAGATGCTTCTTTTCTCCATATCTTCATTTAAGAAGATTTTTAAATTACAGTTCTAGCTTTGGAATCCTTAAACACTAAAGTCAGGTAGACAGCATCTCTGAATTATGCAAATGTCATTTGTTGCCTAGGAAAGAGTACCTTTTAAACAACAAAAAAATCATTTCTTCTGACAAGAGTCACTTCCTGGAGTTATCGAACACTGACATCCCAGACCCTAGTAGGAAAGAAATGCCTAAAATACTTCTTGCAACTAGACTCCTATGTCCATTTCAGATAACAACATAAACCAAAGAGTTACTAGTAAACAACAGCGATTCATACTTAACTGAACGACATTTCAAATTAATCATTTTTAAAGGCAGATGCAGGAAAAGCTAACTGCTCTTAAACTGGAATTCTAAAACTATTAATTCCATTGACGCCAAATGTAAACATATGGACATAGCTTAAAGATTTATAAATGAGAAAATCAAAGGTTTTAGTATTAGCCTTCCAGACATCCAGTCAGTTGACACACGACACAGTTTTAACCCTGACAATCCACCTCTACACTATCACCTTTTTTGGCACAAAATACACCTACATTGATGTTCTTGCAACTAAGGGCATCTGCTTTGAGAAAACTGGAGTAAGAAAATGATGCAGCTAAAATTGTATTTAACAAATATTAAACCTTTTATAATGCATTCAAAATCTAATCATCTCCCTTGTAAATAATCTCAAGTTGGTTGTTTTGCGAATGAATCTAAGTTAGCTAAAATGTATAAAGGACCACAAAACAAGTTTGGTCTTCCTCATTCCAAATAAAGTATAGTAAAACATAACTAATTATAAAAACTTCTTTATCCAAATTTGTTTCTCCAGTTGGGGAGAAAATATTGCATTTTCTTGTGGTACCTTAAATTATAGCTCCTTAGCAATCTTAACAAAAAAAAAATTGCGCTCAGTATCATGTTATATGTATTTTACCATAGTTCTTTCAACAGTATGGTTGGACTTTGACTACATTGAAAGGCAGCTTTATTCATCTGTTATGATGCTACCCAGACATCTTTCCTGAAAGAAAAAGATGTTTCAAATAAAATTCAGAGTTGGCAGAAGTGGGAGTTGAACAATGAGAATATACAGACACAGGGGAACATCACACATAGGGCCCGTCGTGGGGTGGGGGGTCCAGGGGAGAGACAGCATTAGGAGAAATACCTAATGTAGATGATGGATTGATGGGTGCAACAAAGCACCATGGCACATGTATACCTATGTCACAAATGTGTACGTTCTACACATGTACCCCAGAACCTAAAATGTAATAAAAAGTATTCAGAGCTGGAGACAGTAGGTACAGGCAAATGGAGTGATTGGAGGCACTAATAAACCAAAGTTCAGTTCCTGACTTTGCCACTAATTCATCATGAGTGGAGAACAAACAAATGCTGCATCAACTTGTGGACCAACATGACTTGGGATGATACCATCTGGGCCAAGAGACCTCAATAATATTCTAGGAATCTTTTTTTAACCACCCACCCTCTTTGATTCTAGAAGACAGTCCTATACCCCACTCACCCCCATCTAAAATAGTTTGTGGACAGATAATCTCCTTTTAAATCCTTCAAAGTCAACCCCCCAAAATTCATTTTTTTTCAATGAGAAATTTATATAGAAGTCAAATACAGTTTATGGAAGACAAGGCAACCAGGAGATAAGATGTTTTAGATGCAGATGAAATGCTAACGTGAAAACCAACAGAAATTAATGCAGTGAGAAGTAAACAACTGTAGAGATGGATGTTTCATTTTAAATTAAAAAAATAAATTTCATTAAAGCACACACTGCTGCCAACAGGGAAGTCATAGATCTCTAATTTTTTTGTCTTTGATGCTACTTTGGATTTCTCATTTAAGTCAAAGGTTTGTATGGAATTAAGACTTAATAAGGTGAATCCATTTTTTATTGAAAGTTGTGATCACAAGAAATTAATTACATTGCTTCTCATTCTGTTTGGTCCTTTTGGAATGAAGACACCCACAGAATGCACCTTTCTCTTCCCCAGCTCCCCTCATTTAGACTTGCATCTTTTCTGTTAGTATTGTTTTTTTAAGAGATGAGGTCTCACTTCGTCAATCCACGCTGGATTGCAGTGGCACAATCATAGCGCACAGTAGCCTCCAACTCCCTCCTCAAGCAATCCTCCCTCCTCAGCCTCCCACGTAGCTGAGACTGCAATTCATGAGTGTGCACCATCATGAATTGTATCATTATGATCATCATCATTAATTGTATCCATATTGCCATCATTAATTTTCTAGAGACAGGGTCTCACTATGTTGCCCAGGCTGGTCTCAAACACCCAGCTTCAAGTGATCTTCCTGCCTTGGCTTCCCTAAGTGCTGGGATTACAGACATGAGCCACTGCAGCCAGTCAAAAGAAATTTTTTTTTTGAGACAGAGTTTCACTCTTGTTATCCAGGCTGGAGTGCAATGGCGCGATCTTGGCTCACTGCAACCTCCGCCTCCTGGGTTCAAGCAATTCTCCTGCTTCAGCCTCCCGAGTAGCTGGGACTACAGGCACGCGCCACCATGCCCAGATAATTTGGGTATATTTAGTAGAGACGGTTCACCATGTCGACCAGGATGGTCTCAATCTCATGACCTCGTGATCCACCCGCCTCGGCCTCCCAAAGTGCTGGAATTATATAGGCGTGAGCCACCGCGCCCGGCCCAAATTTTTTATAAGTACTCATTGACAGCTTACATGAGGAAAGCTTTGGTCTGGAAGCCTGGCATATAGTGAGGCAGGACATAGAGAAGCTACACTCAAGAGGCTGAAATTACTCAGAAAGCAATAAACGTAGGCTTCACAAAAGATCTACCCCTCAACTTTGTCTGCTGGATTTTGCAGATAAGAACTAATTTTCTGAAATATTTCTATTATACTTTTGACTTTAGATGAGAGCTATTGAAAAAAAATAACAAATAATACAAAATGTGAAATTCCTGGTTCCACTGTCATTTGGAGCTAAGTCGCTATTGCTCAAGACCTCCATTTTTACAATTGTAAAACTGAATTATTAATATGTCTGTTAGAATGATTAGAAGACTAGATCAGGCTACAGGTAAAAGGGCTACAACCAATATTCTGAGGATATTCACAAGTACTCTAAAATTGACTGCTACATCTAATAATCCTAGAGAATGAAACAGATTATAAAGAGGTACCTTGCAGTTACACTCATCCTCCTTCTGCCAACCAAGAATTTCTCAATCATTCAACATCACACCAGAACCTTATATAAAAAGTTGCAAAACTTGTATAGAGAGTCCCCAAATGCCTTTCCCCCAACTTTCCCTAATGATAACACTGTCTAAATTTAGTTCCCAAATGCCATTCCAAATTCCCCTAATGATAATCATAATCAATACTGAAATAATGAAATTTATATTTTCATACAAAAGAATTAAAGAATCTCCAGGCTGTCTTCAAATTTCACTAACTGTCCCAGTAGGGTCTTTTTTTGCAGTCTAAGATCCAATCCAGGTTACCACCTTGCACCTAGTTGAGGTATCTCCTTAGCCTTCCCATCTGTGACGGTTCCTCAATTTATCTTTGCCTTTCATGACGTTGATGAGTTTGAAGAGGCCAGGTCCTTTATTTGTACAATGTTCCCCTAATTTGCATTTGTCTGATGCTTTCTCACGATTAGATTGAGGTTATGCATTTTTGGCAAGGATATCACAGATGTGTCTTTGCGGCCATCAGGAGCTACATAAGGACAACATGTCTCATTATTGATGATGTTAAATTTTAATGTGGTTAAGGTGGTATCTGCCAGCTTCTCCACCATTTGGAATTAACAAGTATTTTATAAGGAGATACTTTGAAACTACGCAAAAATCCTGCTTCTAATCAAACCTTTCCCCACTAATTTTTGTATCCACTGATAATTCTTGCCAAAAATAATTATTACTGTAATATTTGCTCAGTGATTTTTCTATTTCCATCATTCATTTTGTACTTGGCGATTAAAATTCCAGTGTAAGAAAAAGCTGTCCCTTCTCTATTCATTTTTTAAATTTCGGTCAGCATAGACTACAGACATTTATATTATTCCATAGGTTCTAATTCATTACTAACCAAATCCACATTCTAGCAATAAAAGCAAAGCTCTCTAAGTATATTCTCAGCTCTCAAGAGACCACTACCCTCAGATCAACTGCTTAACAGCATTTACTTTGATCTCAAGTTAATTTTTGCTACTTCTCCCTTGAAAGCTGTGCTAATTTATTTACTGTTAAATTTCTCTCTCCTCCTATCTAAACACAAAAGATAACTTTTGCTCCTTATTGTCATTCTAGAAACTCTTTCCAAAGAGGAAAACAAAACCCAAATTTTAATTCAAAGAGAAAATAAATTCAGTTTCATGTTAATAGAATAAGAGCAATAATATCCCCAACAAAAAGCTACTAATTGCCTAGAATCACTATTTTGTTTTGTTTCATTTCTGATAAAAATGAACCTTAGAATCCTTATTAAATGCTCAGTTCCAGCCAGGCAAGGTGGCTCATGCCTGTAATCTCAGTGCCTGGGGAGGCTGAGGTGGGTGGATGACTTGAGGTCAGGAGTTTGAGACCAGCTTGGCCATCATGGTCAAACCCTGTCTCTACTAAA